GGGCCGCGCACGCGCACGCGCGACGCCGCAGGCCGGGTGGACGAGGCACGGATCTTCAGTCACAGAACCCGGGCCAGCCTGCGCACGCGCCCGAAGTCCCCGGCGCCCCCCGGCGGCAGAGGGGCGCTCCGCTGAGTTGCGAGCTGGGGCTGGCGGCTGCGGAATTTCAGAATCCGCCCCTCGCCAAACTGCTTCCACCCGGCGTTCAGTGCCTCCTGCCCTAGGGCAGGAAAAGGAAATCGCCGGCGACAGTTCGCCCGCAAGGCGCGCGCAGGCCACGTGGACCCGCCGGCCGCACTTTGCCCCTGCTGCCTGGCGCGGTCACTCCTGTGTTAGGGACCTAGAAGAGATCCTGGGGCCCCTGCACTCCCACCAACGAGGGGGCAGAGACGCGCAGGAAAGGGCCTAGCCCAGGGTCACCTGCTGTTGGCCGCCGTGCCTTGATAAAGTCGAGGTGTCTTTTACCCAGATGGTGGCAGTGGTCCTGTGAAGATGCGTGTTCTACTTCCAAGACAGTGGCTCGGCCACAGGCGGTAGCGGCGGGGTAGGAGGTAACGGTCTGAGCCCTCTGCCCTCCGCGTCTTGGATGGAGCGCGGCCGCAGCTAGACATCTTTTAAAGGGAACTCCGCCTGGCACGCCTTGGAAGTTTTGAAGTCCCTCCTCCAAAAATATCTAAGCAGTGAATATTTATGAGAAAGCCACGTGGGAAGTTCGGAGTCGTGCGAGAGCACCGAGGGGACACCTGTGGGGTGGACTGAGCCACTCAGCGCTGGCCACCTTCGCCTGTCCACCCCAGGCAGGGACTGGAATTGAAGGAATGGGGGGCACTTTTAGTATCCTTTCATTTTTGCCATTTGTTCCCTGGAAGGCAAAACCCGACTGGCAAGCTCTGACCCACCCTCGGGTGTGAGTTGTGACAGATCAGTGTAGGGGTTGCTGACTGGAGGCAAAGTGTCAGTGTAGCCCTAACAGCTGGTTATTTGCTGCTGGGGGACCTGGCAGAATGCTTTACCTCAGCTCTGTCCCCAACTTGCTGTGCGATCAGTTACCTCCCCTCTCTGAGCCGCAGATAAGGCAAGGATCTTCACAGCCAGGAAACCCTGTGAGGCAACCTCCCCCAGGTCTGGGCTTGGTCAGGGAAGCTTGCCTCCTGAAAGCACAGTAAATGAAAGAATGGTCCCACTCTCCCTGCAGCACTCTGGCTTCGGAAACCAGAGCAGGGAAAACATGAGCCTGAGGCAGAAGTGAGTCTCCAGGGTAAAAGGGCGGATGAGCGCTGCACCCTTTCTCTGGGCAACCAATCAGCTTAACTTCTACATGATCTCTGAGCTGGATGCCAGAGCCAGGGGCTAGAGAGAGGGGCGGTATCTCCATCCTTCAGCAGCTACTGTTCCAGGTGACCATTACCCATCAGAACCCACCGGAAGGAGAACGTCCAGCGCTCAGTGCAACATCTTTCGCTCCGTGGCGAGTAACTGTTTGCCCCTCTGAGAAGAAATGTTTTGCTGCAGTGACAGTTTTCCTCTCTCTGGAGGTCTCCCACCGGCCTGCGGTGTCCGTCCGGCCTGCTGTCCCTGGTGCTGTCCTTCAGTCATCCTTCCCAACACTGCCCTGGCTTGGCGGTGGCTTCGGGGCACAGGGACCTGGATATCTCTGCACGTGGGAGCCCTGTAGCAGCCCGGCATGGGAGGAAGGACGGGTCAGGCTGTGTTTCCACCTTAGGTTAAGAAGCATGGACCGGGGGACCAGCAGTTGGCATAATGGTCACTTCACTGGAGTCCCATGTAGATTATGGTTCGAGTCCCGGACCTGGCAGCTTAAATCTCATGCTGGATTGCGCGCGCGCGTGTGCACATGTGCACCCAAGATCCCGAGAGAATGGAGGAGAAGGGATTGTGGCATGTCCATCCCCCCAGGGGGTGATTTCTCGCTTTCTGTCTCTGTCTCTCTGGTGAGTGCACTTGCCCTATAGCAAAAATCTCTCTCTCAAAAAAAAATTAAATTAAATTAAAATAAAGCGTTTGACTGGAAGGCAGAGACAGGCTCTTGGCTCAGGGAGCCAGGGCAGGATGCTACACACACAGCCCGCTCACACCCGCACACCCCAGTGTGCCCAGAGCTGCAGACTCCTGCCCACATGCTCACTTCTCTCTGTGGAGGTGAGGCCTTGCCAGGGTGTCCCCTGGCCCAGCTGGGGACACAGAAGCCAGGGCAGAGGCCACGCTACTTCCTCCCCACGCTGGCCCTGCAGCTGCGGACAGCCTCTTGGAGCGGCCCTTGGCGGTGGGGCTGAGTTGCTGAGCCTGAGTCATAAAACCCAGCTCCTAACCGGATTCAAGAGGCCAAACTGGTGGTGACTAAACCTGGCCTTACTCAAAATGCATGGCTTAATTGTCGTTTTTTAGAGAGATTTTTTACTATGTGCTCACCAGAGAGTCAGAAAGTGAGAAATCAGCCTCCGGGAGGATAGCCATGCTGCAATCCCTTCTCTTCCATCTTCCTCTTGGGATTTTGGGTACGCATGCACATGCACCCGGCATGAGTTTTAAGTTGCTGGATCAGGACCCAAACCACGGTCGACCATGTGGGAGTCTAGCGCCTTAACCACTATGCCACCTGCTGGCCCTTGGCTTGCTTGTCTTTCATCCCATTTTCAGTGAACTGCATCTTGTTCCGTATTGTTTTTCTTTTCTTTAAGAAAAAGCAATAGGTATCTGGGGGCCAGCAGGTAGCATAGTGGTTAAAATGCTGAACTCTTGCATGTCAGACCATGGTTCAAGTCCCAGACCCGGCAGCTTGAGTATCTCGCCAGGCAAATTTGTGTGCATGTGGGCACCAAAATCCCAGGAGGAGGGTGGAGAAAGGATTGTGGCGTGTCCATCCCCTCTTGGGTGGATGATTTCTCACTTTCCCTCTCCCTGTCTCTCTAATGAGTACACTCACCCTATGGCAAAAAACGAAAAATAAATAAATAAAAAAAAAGATCCTGTGAAATAGTGATGTGAAATGTCTAGAAGTGACTCTTCCAAGGAGGTGAGGTTTGTCTGTTTAGTGCAGAAACAGTGAAGGAAGTGAAGAAAGCCTCCAGTCACACGGGACCTACCAGGCTGTGCCCTTAGTCCTGGCCTGAGTGCTGGCACAGTGGCCATGTGCCCAGGCGTCCACGGTGCCCAGCTCATTAGGAGACCCTGGACGTCGCTTCCCTTCCTTGGGCCACACGCTCTTTCCGGAGCTTGAGGCGTCTGGACTCAGGGGCTTACTCTGTGACATTCTAAGAATCTCTGACTTTTTTTCTTTCTTGCTTTTTTTCTCTTTACAGACAGAGCGCTGTATCAACCCATTGACCAAATTTCTGAACTAAAAATGTGGCCGGGTCTGATGAGGAGGTGTTTCTCTTTCATTGTTAACTTATTTACGTGCGAGAGCTTATAAAGTCTGTAGGGATGACACGTTTGAGGAGTTGCCCTCATGGGAGGGAATGAAAGAGCACACAGAGCAATGGCGGCCGTTTCTGCACCATTTACTCAGCGGTGGGGAGATTTCT